TCAGTAATCACTCTTAGATAACCAGGGATCGATCCTGCTCACAGCCTACTCCCTGCAAAGACGTGAACAGGTGAGGGGGCTCAGGGTTGAGTGTATTATTATTTTGTGTGTGGGGGGGTTAAGGGGTAGTGTATTATTTTGTGTTTGGGGAGTATATTATTTTGTGTGTGGGGAGGTTAATAAGGGGGAGTATATTATTTTATGTGTGTGTGGGGGGGTGTTAATAAGGGGGGGAGTGTATTATTTTTTGTGTGTGGGGGGAATTTTATTATTGTGTGTGTGTGGGGGGGCGGGGCATGTAACGACTTGCATTGTGCGATGGTTGTAAGGTCATTAAAATGTCCTACGATCTGCCCATCTTGGACAGGCAGATCATACTTGCGATCATCGCAAGCCCTCCGCGCTGAAGGCTTCCGATGATTGCAGTGCAGAGCGGGCAGTGTGCACACCGGCCTGGGCGGCATTCGTCTTCCGACCACGCCACCAACCTGCCAAAAATCGTATGATTTTCGGCAGGTTTTCCAGCATGCTTGGAAGACCAGAGACGTGCGACCGCTTCTACTGTAATGCCAATACACCTGCAGATTATCGTACGATCGCGGGATCACCCACAACTATCGTACGATAATCGGCAGGTGTATGGGCACCTTTAGTGTATGTGTATATTAGGCCCCATTCACACCTACAGTATATTTCAGGTGTGATTAGAGATTCCTGTGTCAGGAACTTGCAGCAGGAATACCTAATCTGCCGTTTACAAGCGGAAACTATCATAAGATAAGAATTATCATAGGATTATTTAGGAGGGTGTGTTTAGGGGCGGAGTTAAGGCCAGGGCAGGGTAAGGGTTAGGAGGGGCAACTGGTGGCTAGTAACTCTTAAGGCCTGGCTACTAGTTCAGGACTTGAAATTTTAAGCCCTGGTATACGCCATATAAAACACAAGTTTACTCCACTTTGGAGACTATCCCAAGCACAGTGAAAGATTCCTAAGCATTCTGCAGACAAATAAAGTGGGGAATTAAATATTTACTGAGAATCTCCTGTACTGTTAAGCTGAATATTGAGCCTTGAAGCAGAAAATGATTTTGACAGCAATTCACTGACTATCATGATACAAATTTTAATGATATTTAGAAGCGAAAAAATGCAACATTGTAAGCCCACTTAGAATATCAATGTTAAATGTTGTCAGAACAAGAATAACAGCGGTGGGAAAATCTCTCGACCTTGGAGAATACCAGTTTTATGGTACCTAGAATAGCAATCTAGACACTTTTGGATAGGATTCTGTTTGGCAGCCAGAAAATTATGTTATAACTGAAACAATAAATCTTTGTTCAACACAACTAAACGTCTGTTGTGTTTTATCTCTGGCAGAAAGGATGGGAAGCGCAACGGCGTCTCAGAAAACAAAAGCGTGATGTTCTATAATTACTTATCAGCACCTCACCATGGATCAGAAGTAAATGAATGTATCATTTTTTACTGGAGGCTGCCAAATGATGGACAGAAGTTGTTTCAATGGTAGAATGTCTTTTAGATAACTGGTATTAGTGTCCAAGTTTACATTTACAGTACTGTACTTTCAGACATTTTCTACTAAATTCCTTTTGCTTTCTCCTAACTTTCATTGTCTTCCTATTGGCCTTCTCCTAATTCTTTGCCTTTGTGTGTCTTTCTAGTATCACCTGTTTTCCAGGATTTGCTGGACTGTACTAACTATACCACAATGACAGAATGTTGCGTTGCAGAGTTCTGGAGTGAGAATTAAGCCAATGGGACTAGGCAGAGTAGGGTGTAATCAGTCCCAAGACTGTCATGCAAAAATCAGTAAGCCGGACCACTCATGGACTGAAGAGCTTGAATCTGAGATTGGAGAGTCAGCAGTTTCTCCTCTGGAAGAAACTGGCCTGGGCTGTGTCCCGGAGTAGACTCATACTCAAAACTAAAAGTCCATTTTGGCGATCTCTTCTGAAGTTTCAGGACCCATCTGAACCACTCTAATGTCTAATCAGTCAAAGCCACATTGACTGAAATAGCCTGTGCCAGCTGTTCCTTCAACAGGAGGTCGGATAAGTAAGCCAGAACACTGGTGAATACCCAAGGTGCTGACAAAAGGCAGAGGGGGAGGGTGACAAATTAGTACTGTAGCGGCCCCACAGCATGTAGGTATGCATCCTTGATGTCAATCAAAGCTACAGAGCCTCCCTGGTAAACGGAGGCAATGACGATCCTGGTGGATTACATACAGAATTTAGGAGCATGAATGTGGATATTCAGTGCTTTTAAATCCAAGATGGGTTGGATGCCTCTGTGTGCTGACACAGGAAGATTGAATGTGAGAAACCAAGGAGTGGGCAGGGCACAAAATTCCAGCTTGTAGGCCTTAAATACCACTTCCCTCACCCAAACATTTCAGATACAACCGTGCCTCGTCCCCCTCATCCCCAGGAGGCGCACCTTCATGCCGACAAAGGTTTGCCTAAGGATTTAATGGACTTTGAGCCCCATGTCTTGCGGGTGGACTGGGAGACAAGCTTAGAGTGTGTCTGAATGTCGATGATGTGGGAGTGAATTTACAATTTTTAAAAAGTTACTCTTAATAGTACACTTCCCGGTTTGTAAGTGTGCCTTGGCACACCTACTGTGTGCCAAGCCACACAGTAGCAAGAGGCTATTTTGAGTGTGATATGGTGATGTCACTTTGCTTCTGCTCACCGTTTCCCTTCCTAGAGGTTCTGACATGAGGAAGCAGAACCCGGCCTATACTAAGATGCGCATCTACACAAAGAGCCAGCACAGAACAAGGATTGGTAGGTCAGTAAATGGGGAAAAAATCAGCTGCAGGTAGACCAAAGGCAGTACCGGTGACCAGTCTTTTGCCTTCTACCAGCCTTTTTTTTATCAACATTTGAAGTTAAAAGATCTAAATTCTAACCAGATATCACTTATTTTGCTAAAGCAATGTGTATCAAACAGCTGCTTTGTTTTTTATTTTCATAAAATACTGTGTTACATACAATTGTAATGATCACTTACAGCCCCTTTGCTAATTTTTGTATTTTACTTAAATGTGGCAATATAATATGGGGGTAGGGGTCCTGATTCAATACAGAGATGAGTGCTGCTCCAGGTCGGTCCACTCTATCCACTTGTTGGGTGGACAGCTGGCTCATTACCTGCAAAACAACCGCATACAAGAATGGGATTTTGTGGCATGCTAAAAACCCATGTGTATCTTTTTTCCATCAATAAGATTAACCACTTAAAGGCCATAGTGTTTCACCCCCTTCCTGGCCAGGCCATTTATCAGTATTCAGTGCTGCGGTACTTTGACTGATGTTTATTCTATCATGCAACACTTTACTGAAACGATTTTCATACCATTTTTTGGGGACAGATAGAGCTTTCTTTTGGTGGCTTTTATTCACCAACGGGGTTTTTATTTTTTACTATATAACCCTAAATTTTGAAAAAAAACATGTTTCCCTATAAAATTTTATTAAACATTTATTTTTACCCCAATTTTTTGGTACAATATAAAAGACGGGGTCACGTCGGGTAAATAGACACTAAACATGTCAACCTTTAAAATTGCGCACGCCCGCGAAATCGCAGAAAACGACCGCAGCCAAAATTGGCCATAGGCGACGCTTTAAACGCTTTTACCGCTCATCAGTTTAGTGTTATCAGTGATTGATGGCCCTAGAATTATTGTTCTCACTGCGACGTTCGCGGCGATATGTAACATGTGCTGCATAATGGGCGCAATCGTCGGTTTCGTACATAGGCGCACCCGAAGCATGTTTGCGTGTGTATGTGGGGGGCGGGGGACTTTAAAAAAACATTTTTGTTATTTTTTTTAGCTTCTTTATGTTTTTTAGCTTCTTTATTTTTTTTAATGCTGTCATTTTTTTTTTTTAAAACATCCCTGACGCATTTCATAGAAACGTGCGGTTAAACAGAGCCTCCTAAGGCCTATTAATGCATTAAAAGATACACACGGATTTTTGGAGTGCGGCAATTTCCCTTCCTTGTATTTAGTTGCCCTGATTTAATAAGTGGGTTTTGCTATTTAGTGCAAGCCGAGTAGATTTTTTTAAGTTTAGCATGGTTGCATTACTTGATTACCAAAATTAGCATTTCACCATTTCGCTTGTTGCAGATATAAAGACATTACAAATTGCTTTTGAAATTACATGACCATGTTAAAGTTTTTATACGTTTCAGTGACTGAGTTTTCCATATATTTTGAAGCAGACCTTTACACTCAAAAATCTAAATTCTACCAATGCATCCCTCTATGTATGATGATGATTAATAATAACATAGACATGTCAGGTGTACAATGCTGTGATTTTGAAATACTTATACTCGCAGAGCATTCACTTCCTGCTTTGAAAGGGAAAAAATGACTTCAGTTTGGCAAAGCAATAGACACTGGGATTGCCTTGCCATGAGCAGAGCATTGCTGGAAAATCTCATCTATAATCACATGAGATCTCAGGGAAAGGCATTTTCCTACCCTGAGATGATGTGCATGGTCACATGTCCTAGTCACATGTCTAGTCACATGTGCCAGAAATCAAGGAAGTAAAAGTAAAAGGAGTGCTAGTAATCTACACTTAGTAAACATGGCTACTGCCAGAAGACTGGGGAATAAGGTATGCAAAGGATACAAAGCCTGCAATTATCTAGAAGTATGTGTTTGTAGATTGTCATTACTAAACATTTCTAAAGGTGTGTTTGTTATTTTAAAGATATGGGTAAAGGTCCGCTTTAAGCTTACATCAAATCCTGTGCAAAAAGTAGCTTGAAAAAGTACCTGCTCCCACATATATTTATTAATTACAGTAAATACCCTAGAAGGAAACCATCATTCCAGTTTTTATTAGGAAAAAAACAAGGGGGAGGACCTGGGTTCTCTTGCATATTGGATTAAAGATACACAGTGGTTTCATTCCCATAAAATAAACCATGCACAGCTTGCTCAGTTACCTGTATGTAAAATGGAATTCCAGCACTGCGTCTGGTTGCACAGAGCCTAGAAGATGGATCGCTAGATTTAATTTCCTCCAAGACGTTGCATAACCATTGGCGTGGTAAGCTGCGCAAGCTCTCCTCCTTGCATCTGAAAGAAACAAACAAGCTGGGGAGGTCATGGAGGGCAGTAAGTTTTATTAAAACCATGGCACACCACTTCAAACACACATGACACGGGGCTTCTCTGAAACAATCAAACCATTCACAACCACCTATTTTGGTTTTACACGCATCCAGATTTTTAAGGAATACTGGCTGTATTTAATCAGAATACAATCCGATTCCCTGTGAAACAAGCGGGATTGCAGATTTTTATCATGAATACTGCATGCCAATTGCACCCAGTGTAAACTGATTATGAACATCTGTCTAAAATCAGCTGACAAAGACTAAATTATTCAAATAAGACCATAAAAACTCCAGGCAAAGATATACATAGATAAATATAGAGCTGAAATGTACGTGTGAACTGTCTCATCTACTAAACGGATTTGCAATTCTGTCCAGTCACTTTGTGATTCATACATCTCTTTCTGACAGTGTAGCCAGGGGGGTGACACCATATTCTGTGTTTGTGTTAAGGAACCCTGTCGGGTCTGAAAACAAATTAACAAGCACCTTTGTGGCAGGATCTCCCGGTAAAATTTTAAAGAACGCTGCAGATTTAGAAATAGTAAAAATAATGTTTAAAATGACATTAGCGTGTTAGGAGTTTTTATAAGAACTTAGTGACTAAGTTTAGATGTGTGGGCACTTCCAGATACTACTTATGTTTTAGCTCATGTATAAGTGTAGATAGCTAAAGCCATACTCTAGGCATATTTTTTAATAATGTGCTTGTAAACAATAGTAACCTCTCCGGAGGTATATCCCATGGCCGATCGGCACTTTGTCTTTTTAATACTCTCTTTATATATAAGATTTCTTTAAAAAAACAACCCAAAATAAATAATTCTGCTCCCCTATCCCATATATTTGTACACTATCTAAAACAAGTTTTGTCTGGAGTTCTACTTTAAAGTGACACTAAACTCAGGAGTTAAATCTTAAGTACAATACGAACAAAAATGTAGCTTATTTGTGTATCAATCAGCTGTAGATCCTCAAATCATCTCTGAATTCATGCTGACATTGTCTTTCCTTCTGAAGGGTGGCTACTTCTGTTCCCCATGGTCCCTGTGTGTGTTGTAAAGTAGTCACCGCTCCAAGCTCACTCCCGTGATGGACTACAATCTCAATACAAATTAGCTAACTAAACATGACATTGTAGTCCATCACGTGAGCGAGCTTGGACAGCTTTACAACACACACAGGGGCCATGGGGAACAAAAGTAGCCACCCTCCAGAAGGAAGGACAGTGTCAGCACCAATTCAAAGATGGTTTGATGATCTACAGCCGAGTGATAAACAAATAAGATACATTTTTGGTAATAGTTAAGCTACTTGAATGCATTTTTGAGATTTAGCTCCTGATTTTAGTGTCACTTTAACTGAATTAGCGCCAAACGCCAGTAGTTTAATTAAAGGACTTTACTTTAGCACCAGCCGCATAACTGTAATGTATATATGAGTAGTGTTCAGCCTAACACAAATATGTTGTGCAAGGGTTGAATGCTTAGTGAAATATATTTAAATTCTATTCCAAAACTGCTTAATTTAATTTCCTGCTTGTGAAATTGACTTAAAATATGTTTCAAATGTCTAAGTAATTGAAAACAAGTTTTCACTCGTGGAAAGGAAATCTTCATGATTACACTAAGTCTAAGAAATAGGACAGAAAAGCATAGGGCGGGCCAGAGAGCTCTCATAATGATATTCATTATAAATGGCCTAGCCAAATGACTGCATTGAAGAAATGTCTCGTATAACACTATCTTTGATCACAACTTCCAATAGGTAACTGGAGTTGCACATATTGCCTCAAAAACCCACAATTCTCCAGAACTCTTTTCCATATATACATATTTACTACATTCTAATTAAGTACACCTTACTTGAGGGATGTAATCTAATACAATGTAACAGAGCCTAATACTGAAAGGGTTATGCCAAAACCATTGAGGGATTGCATAGCAACAAAACATATGGGGTTATTTTGGTAGATTAGATGTTTGCACGTATATCATGTATATAACATATACGCATAGAAGCCTGAGTTAATGCAGGGAAATATAAAATCGATCCAAAGTCATGCTTATGCGAGCCATACGGATTGTTTTCTCTCTTTTAGCATGCGGGCTGAACAAGAGAAAATCAGTTGATTACCCAACCTGCTCTAACTAGCATGGATAGAGGATTCTCCACTGCCAGCTGCTGCATTCAGCAGCTCCGGCACCCATGGCTGCCAGAATACAATGGCGCTGCTGAACAGTGACTACATTTGCAGGGATGCAGTGACTGTTCAACCGATAATTACTATATTTTATAGTGAAACAGCCTGGAATTAAAATTGATTTTGATCATTTTATTTAAACAATAAACCTAACACTTTGAAAGTACAAAATATTATTTAGCAAGATAGAAAAGTTGATGAAACAAAAGAGCAGAAGATCCTCCCCTTACAGGCTCATGTCAGACTGAAACAGGTTTTCCTTTAGTATTGTCCTGCATTTAGTGGCGTTCATCTTGCTCTGAATCCTGACCAGTTATCCAGGCCATGCAGATGAAACACATCCACAAAAACCAACACACTTCACTGTGGGGGTGGTGTTCTCAGGATAATGAACACTGTAGGCTTTCTGACACATTTAGCATTTTGTCACAAGGACATAACATTCAGTTTTGGCTTGAGTAGGTAAAAAGGACTTACACATTTTCTGTGCCCCATTTGCATTTTGGCGAACTCTGAATGGAGTAGACTAGGGTTGTTTTTAGCAATGACTTTCTTGTTCTTTCATAAATCCCTCCTTAGGCATAACTGAGTATAAGCAGATATCATTCTAGAGACAGTTATGATCATGCCATATTCTTTGAATTTTGAAAAGTGGATTTAATGGCACTCTAGGGCTGTTCAATGTTTGGAATTCATTTTATAACCCGATCCTGATTGGTGATGTGGTAATCTCCTAGGTTTTCATAGCGTTATCTGTTTAGATGTGTTATATTACAAATATGTAGTACCTTCCACAAATAAACGTTTCTTTTTGAGATATTGTGACACTTTAAATTGCACACAGGTGGTCTCTGTCCAAACAATTATGTGATTTCTGAAAGCAACTGGTTGAACAAGAGCTTAATTTAGGGGCTTCATAGTAAAGAGAATTAATACTTTGCAGACAGTTTTTAGTTCTTGGGGTTTTTTTGTATGTCACTTGGAATTTTATATAGATGTTGTTCCACTTTAACGTTACTGACTATTTTGTGTTGATTGGTGGCATAAACCGCCAATTACATCTATTTCAATATCAGGTTCTAACACTACAAATTGTGTAAAAGGCCAAAGGGGATTATCACAACTACACTTCGCCTTGATGCACATGTATTTTTTTCATTTTAGGTTTTTTAGTTATTCATGTGCATGCTCGATATATATATATAAATGTAACTATCCATTGAATTTATTTTATCTGGGTCTCCAACCCAGTTGGGGAATATCACCTTTTTACTAACTTGGGTGCCCTTCATAACGTGGGGGGAAAAACATTTCTAACTTTTTTTCTTACTTTTTATGCTTAACTAGGACACTTTTGTGAAGAACAGTAAACATTTTTATTTTAATATGACCTGGAAATATTTATTGGGAGGTTTGTTGCTGTCTCTCGCATACAGAAAGCCTGGTGAAACAAAAGGTCGGAACTAAGAAGTATCTAATGGCCATAAGATCGAAAATTGACTTGGAAGTCTGAATGTAACTGGTGATACATCAAGCAGAGACCTTGCATGTACCTGACTGCAAATAACCAACTTTGAGAAATGTCATGACCTGCATACTAAGGTTTGAGGATTCCTATGGTGTATAGCAAAGGCATTTTCAGAAGGGATTGATACAATGGCTTCCAGTACCTATCCATCACTTCCAGGGTGTGTCCTCACTGGATGCTGCGGCCCCTCCCACTGGAGAAAGGATAAACAGTGCCCTTTGCAGAACCTGCTATCACACGCTCCAAAAGTGGCAGTGCTAATAGCTCAGAAAAATTAATACTTTACCTCGCCTGCCGGAGAGGTAAAGTATTCAGTTTTGTCTATTACAGTAAGGGGCTGCTGCCTGGAATTTTTAAACAAACCACAGGGTCACTTTACGCATAGTCAACTAAAATTCTGGAAAATGAATGCAAAAAACAGAATCAAATTCAGACTACAGCACAAAAAAACCCTGACCACCTTATTCTGACCTTCCTTAGCCTGACACGCAGTACAGATGAGAGGAAAAAAAAGCAGCCCAGCGCCCAACCCAACAAACACCAAGCGAACTGCCAGCAAATCATTAAATACTTAAACATCTTTAGCAGAACAATGAAAGCGAAGGTTCCTACGGAGCCTTCATTAGCCCGCTTTCCCTAGGACATGTCAGACTTTTCCCTTTTAGCGGTCCTCGGTGGCGTTGATGCTGAGGGCTTATGACAACAAGTCGGTCTGGTACATGCCAAGTGGAAACAGACAAAGGAGAAAGTTTGGACTATGTCACAGCCGCCAGATTCCACTCGAGTTTGCTGCAGGCTGAAATGTTACTATGAAATCGTCTTTTGTAAAAACCACAATACAGTAAAAACAAATTAGTGATTACATAAGGAACTTGATGAAAGAATCTCGCCTGTGTGTGAGATGAGACAGCAATTTCTACGCACAAAGCTGGCGATTTAACTATTGTGTGTGCAGGAAAACCCAATGACGGCGCACGCCGAGGCCTGGCCGATGCTTTTCTTTACACAGTTAAAACCACAGAACCAAGTCTGTGTATTTAGACAGCTTTGTACTTAAGCCCTACCCTAGCAGTGCAAGTCAGTGCTTGAAGTCTTCTCTCCAAAATAAATCAGTTTTCCTTAGCTAGTTCTTTGCTTTAATACTTGGACTCGCCTTTCCAGAACGTGCTTAAACTCTTCGAGCATTCATTTGAGCTCAGCTAGAGCACCTTCTGAGTGACTGCAGCAA